GTAACTGAATGTGGAACATACAAGCTGTTTGTGTTGCTGTGTTGTCTGTGTTTGTTGTCATTGTGCAGTAAATACTTTTTACATGTCACAAAGCTGAGCTGTGTACTAAAATTCTCTCACAAGGAAAGAATATCTTAAAATCTTAAATGTGGAAACTGGGATCATCGGTGTAAATATCTAGTGAGCATATACATAAAATGTTCAAGTCATAGACACTGTCAGTACAGCCAAGTCCAACTTACCTCATAGAACTAGTGATTAGATCAGCTGAAACCATGAGGAGGAGGAGGACCATGTGAACTAAGGAGCGATAGTCCTTCATCAGGTGCACATAACAATTGTCACAGTACATGTATGTACAAGAATTATACTATTGGGGTTGGAAGCTTTTGCAACGTCAGGAGAAATTCTAAAATGATCCTAACCCACCATTTCACAGAACGGTATAAATTGTTCAACCCTAAAGGGGATACAAAAATAAAAATCTGCTCTGACCTTTACAGTTTGAATGACAGGCTTTAACCTTTAGCAATTCATTCTGCACTGCTTTTAGCAAAAATAATCTCTCGAGTTGCCTGTAACATTCGTATTGGCTCTTGATCCTTAACATAAGGGGGTCTATTTGTGATCTATGACATACAAAGGAGACTTTGGTAAAGGTTACAGAACCCCTTTATAATGTTAATCAGGGTAGATGGCCCTGGGGGGGGGCTTCAGATCTGTAAAATAACAAAACAAAAACACCCCTTTATCCATTTGACATGTGTAATGGTGGTGCCCATCAGTGGTGTCATGAGGATCACCATACAGGTGCACTGCATGTTAATCAGTCCTTACTCAGTCCTGTTGGTTCTGTTAGCATTGGACACTGAAGCCTATCTCCGCCTTCCTTCTAAATACCTTGTGTATGTTGAATGAATTTTAACAATCATGGTTTACTCTCCACAGTGAGAAGGCGCTGCTGACCAATGAATTTGAGCTGAGCATCAAGACTGAAGCCACTCAGGGTTTGATCCTCTGGAGCGGAAAAGGCACGGAACGTTCAGATTACATTGCCCTTGCTGTGGTAGGGGGCTACGTTCAAATGATGTACGACCTTGGGTCGAAACCTGTCATCCTCCGGTCTACGGTACCAGTTAACACCAACCAGTGGATTCGCATCAAAGCTCTAAGGTAAATGCCATGGCAAGTGATTTCTGGGAACGAGGTCTCTCAGGAGAAGAGATTACATTTAACAATTAAGATCATAAATGTACAAATTCATGAGAAACCAAACTTGGTGCTGGTTCTCATCGTGCTGCTTCAGGCCACAACAGTATATTATGGCGGTTTACATATCCCTAACTAGGGTTGCACCGTTACTGTTTTTTCGGTTTACAAGTACCAATATTTTTTTTTCCAGAGGGAAATCTCCCTCTGACCGGAAGTTCCAGTACCGGGGGAAAGTATCAGAGCATTTGTACTCGGCATCAGCACCAATAATAGTATTGGTATCAGTGCCATAAACACTGTGGGCAGAGGTGAATGGTAAAAGGAGTGGTGCTTGAGATCACCTGATTAAAATACCCATTATTTAACAATGTCCCACCTACCTTACCATCCCACCCTCTCTACAGCCTAGGCTACCAAAAACTGCAGATTATCTTTAGGAATGGGGACGTTTTTATTTGCCAAAAGGAAATTGTGTTGCTCATGATTATTTTTTGTTAGGACAGGTCGAAACATAAAATTCTAAGGTAGACTGTGAGCAACATAATTACTTACATTCATTATGTTCACTTTCGATAAGCAAGGCCTATTTCCAGGAATGTAGTTGTAGCTGCCCTACTGGTGGGTATTTATTAGATACAGAAATGGGGGAATTTCCTACGTCTGAAAGCCTGATAATGGAATTTTTTTAATGTTGAATTCCCAGTTTTGTAATCAAATCAGTGTTGGCATGGGCAACGGTGCTTTACCTTCAAGAGAAGATAGCATTTGTGTGGGATTATCCATCAGTCCAATGCGCCCTTCAGTGCCCCCTGGGATAAGAATAGAGCAAGGCATCTGTAGAATGGTGAGCGGGCGGGAAAACCAACATAGGCGTGCTGGAGCTTGCCTGCTGCGGATTCCAGGGCATTCCACCAGACCATTCTATCTCCATTGCTGCTACAGAGACCTGTGCAACAAACACGAAGTGTCCAGCCAGCCTTTACGGTTTAAAGCTGCAGCAGCTTGTAAGTCATCAATCACACAGGTAGCACAAAAATCCCTTCAATATAATCAATAGAAAAGTTGTAATATAAATATTTAAACTATCCAATGTTCAGCTATAAGAGCCTGGGGTGGGGAAGAGAATTCCCGCTCATATCCTCCATAGTTTCAGCATGGTGTCAGAGCTGAACTAATTCTTAAGAATCAGCTGCATGGTTTGTTGAAGAGAACTTTTCGGAAGTGATAACTTTGTTTTGGGTGTGGGGCAGCCGTGTATTTAGGTTTCGTGCGGCCCGTACAGATCCATGCGGCGTGCACGGTCGTAACTGGCCGTTCCCAGGAAGGACAGGGGCTGCGTGTGATTGTACGCAGCAGCCTGTTCTTCTCTATGGGAGGATGCGGCCGTACTCCACCCTCTGCTCACCCACACTTTACTTCCGTGCGGGACGGCCGGATACGACCGTGCACGCCGCATGGATCTGTACAGGCCGACTCTAAGCTGTGTGAATGAGTTCTTAGCGTTGCAGAGAAGCAGGAGTCTGAGGTGGGCTGTAAAGGATCTATGGTTGGCTCTGCAGGGTCTAAGGCAGAGACTGCCATGGACCCTGCACGTCCCCCCATAGACCCTGCACAGCACTCCTGAGTCCCTGCAAACCCCACCAGAGACCCCTCGAGAGCCCACCATAGGCCAGGAGGGGGACCCCATGCCAGATTTTTTTTTCTTTTTTTTAACATGTCCTTTGTTTATTCTGCTCACTACCTCGGAGGTAGTGAGCAGAGTAACAGAGTCGTATGCTGCTCGGCGACATTCGGCTATTCACTGACTGCCGTTCAGCCCCTATGAGAGGTGAACGGCAGCGAGTGAACTGCCGGAGTTGAACGGCTTCTATGCTTTGGCTCAGCCAATCATGCTGAGCATGTTCGGCTGAAGCGAAGCCAGCCGATGGATGGCTGAAATCAGCCGTACAGGGCCGAAGTGAATAGCCGAACGGTGTTTGGGTAACTTCACTTCGGCTCGGTTATTCACTCAGCTGCTATTGGAGGCTTAGTGCATCTCATTCCCTACACTCAACCAAGTGCAGATCTTATTTACATTAGTGGTGGAGTGCGAGTGTGCCCGTCTCTTCAGGGAGAAACCATTCTTGTTGCTTATAGCTACTGTTCTCACTTTATTGTCCTTCACTTCATTTTCAGAGTGAGAGCTTAATTGGTTGCTATGGCCATCTGAGCATTTTTCCTTTCAGAGACCTTCAGTCATAAGGCCAGCGATGTCTAAGCACTAGAGTATAACTATAGAGCTTTATGAAAGTACTAGTGCCTGCGTTCTTTGGTAGGAGAAGGGTTAAGCCATGTACGATCTGCTGTCACACTACATTCCATGAGCGGCAGCACTCTCCATGGAGACTGGCAGGCCATGTTTTTGGCTATTTGCCGCCCGTGAAGGGATCATTGGGGATCTCAGCTCTTTGGATGTTTCAGATGCCAAGGGCTTGGCTATCAGGGACACAATGTACTCTGCGGCTGCACAAACAAACAAAAAACATTGGGGTCAGGCTGCGGCTGTGTGCGTGCACCAAGATACCGTAGGAATTGTAAGATGCAGATCTCTTTGGCAGTATTCACGGGGCAGGATTAACCCTATTGTAATATTTGATGACATTGGGGCAATGATGCAGCTGATAGTCAGCTGGTGACCTTTGAACTGGTATCTTATGGCCTATAATTTTTTTTAGGGCAAACTACAATAACATATTACAATCAATCAGAACATCAGCCTTCACTACGTTGTCCACTCTAAGCTGTTCACGAATTGATTCTGATTAGTTGTCATAGGTAGAGCATTATATTGCTTCCCACAATACAATCCCCTCGGATTTTGGTCTAGGGTCTAAAATAAAAAGATATGCTCACCTTATCCTCGGTCCTGCCTGGCTACTAGCGGCGTCCCCACAGCCTCTTCCCTCCGGGGCTCCGTGATGTCATCACTTCCATTGACTTGCATTGGACGTGAGGACGCTGAGGGACATTCCACAGCCAGAGCAGAACAGGGAGAGGTGTGCAGTCACCACCACGGGACTGAGGATCAGATGAGTTTATCTTCTTTATTGTAGACTCTAGACCAAAACGAGTACTTAACCCTTGCAGTGCTTGGGGTTCATTTTTTTTTTTACGTGGTCCCATTTCTACTTTAAGTACAATATAAGTTCTCTCCCTTTTATAGTGACTGAATTACAGAAGACAACAATAAAACATAAAGAAGGCTTAAAAAACAACTAATCCTTGCAATGAGGCGACTTCACAAAAATGGTACCACCCTAGAGTAGTACTGTCCAAGGAAGTGCCCGGTGTGCTTTATATCTCGTCTGTGGGTGTTGTATAGTATTTGGGGGTGAAAGTGACACCTCTGCTACCAAAGGGGAAGAGTTTTACTCATTTTTTTCTCCCAACTCTGTCTTCTAGAAATAACAGAGACGGCATCTTACAAGTCGGCAATGAGGCGCCAGTCTTTGGTTCATCTCCTTTTGGATCAAAACATCTAGATACTGATGGAGCCTTATGGTTGGGTGAGTCTCATTCTCTAGTTATGTGTTGGCAACAATTTTCATTTTTTATTGTTTACCTAAAAGAATGTTTTCAGGTTTCTCTCCCATTTCTATGTAATGACTGTATTTTGAATGTTGAAATCTTCATCCCTCATTTAGAAGGCTTTTATCAAGCGTTGTAATCGGCATGCTTGCTGATAAACTGCTGAGCTGACATTGTAAGATAGGCCACAGAGAGAATCTATTGGGCAGGCCAATATATATGATGAGACCAAAAATAATCACTGTGCAACCCAACAGGAAGCAGAGCAAGGAAATAGGGAAGATGCTCCATTCTAATATACATTTCTATACATAAAAATAATGCCGTCTTGCCATTGTTTATAGTATGGTGAGCACATTAATACATACAACTGTAACAAAAAAAAGCACACATGCTCAGGGATTTAGTACGGAATATGGCCAGCCTAAAACAGCATTCACAAAGATCACTTTTTGTACAAGCAAGTATACGAAATCCTATAAAATGAGTGCTAGATGTAATTGCAAAACAATACCGGCGCCTTCAAATCCAAAAAGAGCCCAGCAGTAAAAATACAGCAAACACGATGGAGGCAGCTCCCACAGGTTAGATGGACCACCAGTCTATGAGAAAAGGAACAAAAGAGAGCGCCTGCATAGTGTAAAAACGATATTTAATAGTAAAAACACGCAGCTCTAAGGCTGTACAACCAACAGTTCGGTAGAATAAAAACCAGTAGAATAAGGTGAGAGGACGGAACCACTGGCAGGGAGAATCTGGAGCAATGTAAGACACCAGTAACCTCGATCCCTGTATTGATAAATGGTTTACGCGTTTCTGGGGCACGCCCCCTTCATCAGAACCAATGAATGAACACCCCCTGTATCCTGTCTTAAATCTTTGACGGAGAGGGTCACATGGGATTTTTAGTCCAATCATCCAGTCGGTGTTGGAGGCTCATCTAGAGAGTGCAGCTGCAAGTGATCTCTAATTACTATTCAGCTCAAGCTAATCCACAATATAATGTCATACATGGAATGGACATAATGTCAGAGGCTCATCTCTAGATGAGCCTCCAACACCGACTGGATGATTGGACTAAAAATACAGGGGATGTTCATTCATTGGTTCTGTACTGTTATAAGTACAGCCTTAGAGCCTGCGTGTTTTTACTGTTAAATATCATTTTTACACTATGCAGGCGCTCTCTTTTGTTTCTTTTCTTATAGAGTGCTAGATGTATACAAGACAATTAGAGTTATATGTTACAGCATCCCTGTCACCACTTTACAATGCAAGGACCATGTGCAGGCTGTGAAGAAGATCATTATTTACCCAACACTTCCGGGTGTGTCAGATATCCTGTCCCCCCGCTGTGTGACATGGTTCCTCCCTCCAGCCGCTAGGTCACTAATATGTTCTGTCCTGCAGTGACGTAGCAGCCAGCAGAATTAACCTTGGTCTATGTATTCCAATGTGACAACAAGACCGCTAAGTTCAATGTTGCCCATTCATATCACAAATAGTAATAAGTAAATGGAATGAGGACAGGAAAATAAAATGTGGATTTGTATTCATTAAATTGTTGTGCTTTAATGTATTGATGACTGTTGCGGAGGGATACAGACCATGTAATAGACTGACGATGTCTATGAGTTTCATTTAGCAATGGGATTCTTGTAGATTGTACATCAGCGGGATGAAATGCTGCTGTGTCATTATGGAATTTGTAGATTGGAGTGTTTCTGCTGGAACATACAAGTTGTCACTAACATGATAGCGAATACCATCCAGGTTTAGTCAGTGTACCAGCGTACTCGAGTTCTGTCAAGTCGGGGCAGGATTGAGTGATGTCTGCCATACTGAGACATTTAGGAATACAGGGACTTTCCAATCTCACCCGTTTCACAGATGGAATCCCCCTCAACACAACAACTTCTTTCTGACCGATATGTATCTACTCTAAGCCGTATTGGTTGTGTAACTAGGCGGTCAGTATCTTCACACAGGCTGTGGAACTACAGTGATCATCATGTACTGCATCCTCTCTGCTAAAAGAAAGTTATCAAAACATGTTCAGTGGAAGGAAGTTGTGGCATTTTGCCAAAGGTCCATTTTGTGGCCGATATGTTTGGGCGACCGAAGTTTCGGTGCATCCCTAGTTTTATTCCTCGAGTGATGATCAGAGGACCTCAATGAATACATATCATTATGTAAGTGGACTATTTGTGATGATGATAATGTTGCACATCGGTCACAGTTACATCTTGGTATTGGAGGAGTATGTGTACTGCCATTGCTGTCACACTGATTCTGTGGCTTTGATGCTTTGAGTCACATTCCTGGAACTGTGTAGAATATGATTTTTGATATCATATTTTTATGTCATATTCATATTCTTGTTCTTAAGGTGAAAAGTTTAAAAGAGGAAAAATAGCTTCCGTTCTTGCTTAAAACTCAAAAACGTGTTTAATTACAAAGTTACAAATGATTACAAGATTAATAGCATAAAACAAAATATAGAAATATGTAGATGTATAAATAAGTTCTTGTAAGTGTTTAAAGTGTTAGCATCTCTGTCCCTCATGTCTGTGTCTGTCTGTATGTGTCCTGCATGTCCACGTGAGTGTGAGTCCTTTGTGCTCCCGTCCCCGTCCCTCTTGCCATCTAGCCCCAAGTGTAATCTGAAACTTAGACAAACTATAAAGGTATGAAGGGGGATAGGAATAGAGGATTCTTGTATTTGAATGCAAACTATTATGCATTCAAATAAACTATATGTTACAAATACCAATATTTATACATAATTCAATGTTCTTTCTTATATGAATAACTGAATCAAGAAATATTACAGTAAAGAGATATAATACTTTGTAAACACTTAATAAACTTTGATTTAGAATACCTCACAGTCTTTCTTGATAATACGGAATGTGGGAGGTTCTAAGCATTTCTGCCATCATGATTGATCAGTAACAGATGTATAGCAAATACAACCTGAACCACAGACTCTAATCTCATTGCGTATATTCCCATACTGAACAAATGTATATATAGAAAATCAATCCTCACTTATGTTCATCACATGCATACATAATCCCTATATGAATAATACCCTTTTAACAAACTGCAAAAACTTTCCCAGCACACTCGCCAGGCAGCATGCAAAACAAAAACAAAACAAACCTGTCTGACCACTAAGGTTAAAAGCAGAGGTTTGGATACACGTCTTCTGCAGAAAATGTGAAAGCCGCACAGCCGCGCCACGGCACCTCTATATAGTGTGGTCCTAACTCTAAACTATGAGAGTCTCCATCTTGGAGCATATGTGGCAAAAGATCAAATTGGGTGCAGGTTTGTCAGGAGGAAGCCCACAGGGACGCACAAGGGACCCCGCACATCACAACGGCAGCTGAGACCCCCCATGCGTCACTGCACCAAATCAGTCAAGCAAAACAAATGGCAAACGCACTCATCAAGCCAGAATCCCTGATCTAGAACTCAAAACATTAAAGACAAAGGATTTTGTAGTACGATGTACCAAGTTAAAAAACACATGTATGCCCAAGATGGCGGCCATTCATTGTCTAATTTGTATGCTTCTTCATCTACAGGTGGCGTAGAAAAGCTGAGTGTCTCCTACAAGCTCCCCAAAGCATACAGCACTGGCATCACTGGGTGCATGAAGGATGTTCTCATTGACCGGAAGGAGCTACACCTTGTGGAAGATGCAGTGAATAGTCCCCCTATATTATACTGCTCAGCCAAATAATCTGAGACCTACTTACCTTCCTCCTTTCTGGCCTACCCCCTTTCCCTCCTCTCCCCACCCATTCACTGCTGTAATTATTTTCTATTTTTGTAAACTTATTGCTTTTTATATTTTGTGTGTGGGGGGAGGAAGGAGAAGGCAGTGTCTGTATCTGTGTGAATGCGTTCAAATACTGCAACCAGACCAAAATCCAATGGGGTGGGCACAAGGGTTACATAATGGAGAGGTTAGACAAACATGCAGGTAATAGATGAGAACTGGGTGAACTCACAAGGGCCTTATTCAAGTCAAATCAGGGATTACTGGGGAAGATAAAATATGTTTTATATCGAAGTGATAAATTACTTTAATAATTGGGTTAGCTGGATCTCCGCTAACCTGTCATGATGGTTGCAGCATTTTGCCTTTGGAGTGTATGAGTGCATGCGTTTTGAGATGTGTGATGTGATGCTGCTTCAGCTGTACCCACTCAAAAGTGAGAGATACCTTTGTCATGAGTTGGATGACGTCGCTACTGCTGGCTGCTTTGCATTCCCAAGACAAGTTATTATCTTAAGGAAAGAAGAGGAAATAAGGGGTCTCTGTGGTAATAATGTGGCCTTCTTGTTAGAATCATGTTTTGTTTTGCAAGAAAACCCCCTTGCCCCTGAGCATCTCTATACCTCTTCCATATCATTCTGCCCCCATAGGGGGTCTATTATACAAACATCCAGTCATACATTCCTTTTTTTTTTATGGGTTTGACTTATATAGGACAACTCCTGTTGTACTTGTAGTGGCCAAATCTAGGGGGGGGGGGGGGAGGACAACTTTTTAAATCACCCAAC